GAGGACGAAGCAGACTCCCTGCCGAGCAGGAAGCCCGATGCGGGACTCGATCCAGGGACTCCAGGATCATGACCTGAGCCAAAGGCAGTTGCTTAACCAACTGAGCCACCCAGGCGCCCTGAAGATCAGATTTTAAAAAGACATCTAAGAATACTTCATTATAGCAGAGTTTGTTAAAAATATTTTTTAGGGCACCTGGGTGGCTCAGTTGGTTGAGTGACTGCCTTTGGCTCAGGTCATGATCCTGGAGTCCCTGGATCGAGTCCCGCATTGGGCTCCCTGCTCGGCAGGGAGTCTGCTTCTCCCTCTGACCCTCCCTCCTCTCATGTGCTCTCTCTCATTCTCTCTCTCAAATAAATAAAATCTTTAAAAAATACGTATTTTTTAGACACCCAGAATAAAAACCAGCCAAAATGTCTCATACAACACTTGAGAAACCACTTACCAATTATATACTCAATAATATAGGAGGGCAATGGATATCAATTCATTGTAGTTCCCACAAGAGTTGTTAACATTAGGTTGAACCATATGAAATTGCTTTTTATGTAAGTCAAAATGGTTGAATATTGGCAATTTCATATGGTTCAACCTAACAAAGACAAAGGAAAAGTAGATAAATTTGATCCTCAAGCAGAACTGTAATAAAGTTTTAAAGGGAGGAGCAGAGAGTCAATAGAATACCAACCCAAAACAAAGCATTTCCAGTAACAGTGCAACTAGTCTACCAAGTATTGCTAGACTCATTATGGTAAAAAGGAGTTAAAAATAAGCAAAGTAGTTTGTCTGAGTTTGTTCTCTCATATTAGAAAAGAACATTAATATATTTTTTATTTTATAGCACTAAATTGGAGATACTTCCTCTAAAGCCTTAACCAATAAAATCAAACTGCATTTCAAATTTTGTTTAACCTCTAATTCCTAAAAGTGTATTTAGTATGACTTCAGCAAATACATAATAAGCAAAAAGATATAGCCCATAAAAACATAAGTATTATGTAGCATACAACTATAATTTCAAATAGTTCAACAAGATTGAAATGTAGGAGATAGAAGAAGAAAACAAGGAAAGATAACCATTTGCACATGAATGCATAAATAAAAATAATTCATAAGTCAAAGTAAAATAATTATGTTAAACAGAGTCATTAAGATACCTATATAGCAAGTACAACTATTAAAGTCCAAATATACAACTAATTCATAAGAGAAGGAAGAAAATTAAAGAGAATTAGGTATAATATCAAGCTCTACTCAAGTCTATACCACAAAGAAGACTTTTACAATTAGGTTTATATGACACTTTATATTAGACTAAGAACTGGCTGTAAAGAAAACTAACTTACCCTCCATCGAGAAAATAATCCACCCATCTTTTATGTGTAGAAACTGGGCACAATGATAAATATCATCAATTGTCCAAAGGAATTCACAGCTAGAAATAAAGCAAGTATTTAAAAATTTTAAGTTAAACACACACTATACCCACTATGAAATTTAGATGTTGCAATACTGCCCAAAAATACTATAAAATATTAATTTCTTTGAACTCCACTTATGTGGAAGTTTAGTTCAGATAGTCTTGGGATAGAATCTACCCTTCAAGAAATCCCTTTTTCCACACCAGGACATATTTATAAGTGAAAATAAAGCTGAAAAGGCTTTTAAATGGAAAGGCATTTTAGCAGCGTATATTCATACCACTTTGCAACTTGCTGTTCTTTAAAATGGGTCCCCTAATGTTGTAAGAAAAGTTTTACTATACTACTTTCATTCTACATGCTTAGATACATTTCTATCATTCAGCTGTCTCCCAACTAAACTAGTTATTTGGAATTAGGGGTGTTTTACAATGTTTAGAATAATATCATTTTACAAGTAATAACAGAAAGCCAATGGATTTTGAATAAGAAAATAACGGCTACAAGACTATTAGTAAGCTTGAGCAAATCATTTAATGCTTCTGAGCTTTAATTTCCTTTTCTGTAAATTAGACTTAATATACCAGCACTTTTCACAGGACAGCCTTCATTATTACCATTTTACAGATAAGAAAATTAAGTGAAAAGACATTCAGTGATTTGCCCAATAGCTCAGAAGAAACAGGATTCAAAGCTACTATCTTCAGGGACTCCTGGGTGGCTCAGTGGGTTGAGCATCCCACTCTTCATTTCGGCTCAGGTCATGATCTCGGGGTTTTGAGATGGAACTCCGAGTTGGGCTCTGCGCTGGTTGTGGAACCTGCTTGGAATTCTCACTCTTCCTCTCCCTCTGCCTCTCTAATTAAAAAAAAAAAAAACAAAACACACAAAGCTACCCTATCTTCAGACTTCTGCTCTGTTCACTACTGTTCCAATACCCAAATAAACATTTCTCTCTGAAACTGTATCTAAGTCCCTCAAGCCAGCAGACCTTCATGTCAGCTAGCTGTGTATCTATCTTCTTTTAGTCGTTTTTCTATGACTCTCAAATGTATTACAATATTACCATGTGGATGAAAATGTATCAGCCATCTTAGATTCTAAATCAATTTACCAGTCCATAATGTAAGTTTTTATTCTTTTAACAAGAAATAGTATAGGTATACTTTCAAATTTACATATTTTTACCAGGTATAGTTACATACTGTCAGTGTATAAAACTACTTCATTCCACACACAAAAAAGTTAGGCCATAATTCTCACATTTTTTTAAAACCATTAATGTAATAAAAAATGACACCAGTACCCAGTAAACACATTCACTCTGCAACACTATTTATAGATTGGATTAGCATAAGGCATACCGATCTTGGACTTTCTTGATTAGAGAAATAACAAAGATTCTAAGTATAAAATACTTTCACTTACAAACTGATTTCTAGGACCAGAAATATCTATAAATTGTCCTAAAAAATTCTGGTGTTTATAAATGAATGTTATAAGTCACATTTAAGTTTCAACCTAAGTACTATTAATCCTTCAATATTAACTCAGTATTCAAATTTCTAAAATGCAGTTGTAGGAAGTCCAGGAACTTTAATGAATAGAAGTATAAATTTCTCAGTTAAAACATTAAATAGATCTTAAAACCTTCTTAAGATGCTAAAAATACTCACCAAGAAAGGTGACTGGTTGTGGGTGGGGATTTATATAAACCATTTAACTTGGTACTTTCCAAGTATATAGTAATTCCCTACTATTTGGAAACTAATGGTATGGTATCTAGCACAGTGTTTTGTACACAACTGACCTACACATTTTGGTTTGTAACAGTTATATGCCTCCGAGTTAAGTTTGTAGCCATCAGAAATCAGAATTTTTAATATTTAAAGGTAATAACAGGGGTGCCTGGCTGGCTCAGTCGATAGAGCATGGGACTCTTGATCTTGGGGTCACGGGTTCAAGCCCCACGTTGGGGGTAGAGTTCACTAAAAAAATAAATAAATAATTTTTTAAAATAACATTTAAAAAAAAGTAATGACAACAATAAAGATACCAGTTAAATATTTGATAAACACTTTATCTCTAGTTGGCCCTAAAACAAATGCTTTACATGAATTTTATTATTTAGATATTACTATCATCCCATTTTATTATGTCGGAAACTGAGGCTAGGGAAGTGAAGTAATTTGCTCCCAAAAATATTAAGTAGCATAGCCAGACACAGCATTTTAGTTGTGACTTTTTATGAAGCAAATAGTTATTCCCAATAACACAAAATCAAAAATAAAATCTGCTTTATATAAATTAGATTGGAATATTTATATATTAAATATATGAAAGCACCACTGACATTCTCAAATAGCTGGTAAACAGAGCTACTGAAGTGGAAAGTAAGTTATAAACACAAGAGACAGTGTTGGTACAGTGTATCATGTGGCCCAATTCCTTCATTTGATTAACTCTGAATGCTTAAATCTGCATGGAAGAGTAGCTAAATGATTTGCCAAATCATTTTGGCAGCTAGCACCAGCAAGGGGCAGAATTGGTACTGAAAGTCTGCAAGTACTGCCTTTACTTGTTTACTGCACATCATTTTTTAAGTGTAATATGAAATGTATGCATAATATTGCAATTAATACCAACCTTGACATCAATTATTTGCTTGGAGAATTGTTTTGATGTTAATGAATCAAACTATGGCTTAGCCTTTAAGATCCCTGAAGCAGAGTATTATGCTTTAAAATCTGTCCTCTAAAACAACATTAGGGTAAATAGTCATTAAATGCCTATCCATGCTTTCAGAATCATAAAGAACAAGTTAACCCTCATTGTTCCAGCAATTTTCCTAAAATTCCGAATTCCAGTATTTGTTAAAGAAGCTAATTTGCTATAATACTCATGTAATGGTAGTACCTTCCAACAGATATGAAAGCATAACAAAATTAAATAAATCAACTCTTTCTATATAGCTTTAATTTCATACGTCTTCTATTTTCAAACACTTTTTCCCTCCTTGCTACACAAACATCTTAACTCCAATTCCTGTGGCCCATTACTTACTATGAAACCTTGGGAAAATAAGTTTCTTAACCTCTCAGTTACTCAATATCTTCATCAGGAAAAGGATAGTTAAGGACCCTCTTAAGTGTCGAAAGGCTTAAGTGACACAATGCATTCGAAAGTATTTATAGCAGTGCCCGACACATAACTAATTTCTCAATACAAACTGTTTTTACTGCTGTGGTCATTGCCGTTTCCTAGTCCATCTCTTCCAACACATGCAAAATATATGGGAAGCAAATAACTAGCATTTCTTTCTGACGCATAAATCAATGTTTGTCCTTGAGTGAACAGATTGCTCAATCTCAAGTGGCTTATCCCCAAGAACTCTTCCATGAATGTGTAGTCTCTTTCCACTCTGATCACAATGGCACCTGACATGACCTTAAGAGCTGGATGCATCTAATGTGTTTTTCAATAAACAACAATGCCCACCATATTATTTCAATGTTTCCTATTAACTGATATTCACTCAGGTTTGGGTGTCAGAATTTAAAATCTTGGGCCATGTCGTTCTTAAATTTTCAGCTCACTTCAAGTTCGTATTAAAATAATGGAGGGGCACCTGGATGGCACAGTCGGTTGAGCGTCTGACTCTTGGTTTGGCTGGGGTCGTGATCTCAGGGTCATGAGATCGAGCCCTGTGTGGGGCTCGGGGCTCAGTGCTCAGCGCGAGTCTGCTTAAGATTCTCTCTCCCTCTGCTCCTCACCCCGCCCCCTGCTGTCTCTCTAAAATAAATAAATCTTCAAGAAAAGTAAAATAATGGAGTAAAAAAGGTCTGGATCAAAATATGGCTCAGCTGCATACTAACAATGTGGTCTTGGGTAAATTAAACTCTCTAACCTCAGTTTCCACATCTATGTAGTGGTGAAAATACCTACACTTCACAGAACTGTTGTAAGAATTAAATGAAATTATATATCACTTGGCACAGTGTCCAACAAGTAGTGAGTGCGGAATAAATTATAGCCATTATTATCACTATTATCAGGAAGCACTTCTTATAAAGCACTTCTTATAAAGTACTTATTTTCATAATTTTAAAATTGGAAAAATAAATTACAGTTTGTATTTTAACTGAAATTGTATTGCCCTCATTTGCTCTAGTATTAAAAAATAAAACAAAATACTCTGCAGACTCTTCCATTAAAATAATCTTGCAGGCCTTTAACAGCCAAGAAAGTTAACTTTTATGTTTATCAAGTTCCAAACCTAAGTGCAAACTATTCAGTCACCATCAACAGGGCCTCTCTATTGTACTATTCAATTTAAGATTAAAAGTGATTTGTTCTAGAACTCTTTCAAACATCCTAACTGAAGAGGAAATCCTGAAATATCCCAAACCACCACATTTATTGCTCAAAAATAAAATTACTGAAAAGAAGTACACCTCTAAAAGCACTTATATTATATGCTGATTAATTCTGGTCTTCATAAGTTGATGTCCATTCTGAACTAAACACTACCAAGAAATGACTATTTAAGTAGAAAGATCTCTATATTAAATCATACCTGGTTCATAGCCATATAGCTTCTTAGATTCTCTGTCAAGTTAATAATATATAAACACTGTAAATTTATTAACAGTGGTGGGTTGTTCTTAATAGGTGACAGAGAAACTTAGAATTCTAATTTTAAATGCACCACTCATGTTTTTAAAAACATGTTCAAAATCAACTTCCTCCTAAAATGGAACTATGGGGGCTGCTGAGAACAAGAGATTATCATTCCCTGCCATTCCCTGCCAATCTGAACACATGCCTGAAGCCAAGCTTACTCACATGCACACACACTGCTGTTGAACAGAGTCAGTTATGTTAATGATGACACCCAGGCCAAAGAGATAGGAGAAAACAATTGACATAAACCAGACGCCAACTGGGAAAAGCAGAACATGGAAAACTCAGTGAGTCACCGGTTTTATTACTATGAGGGCACCATCAGCAAAACTGAGTTCACTAATACCAACTCTCTCAATCCCCATACACAATATTAAAGAATTAAACTATTCTTAAAAGATTTTATTTTTAAGTAATCTCTACACCCAATGCGGCCCGAACTCACAACCCCCAGATCAAGAGTCCCACGCTCCACCAACCGAGCCAGCCATCAATTAAAACTACTGAGGTAGTTTAGATTTGCTCTTCTCCTAAGGACTTGCCTATGACACCTACGCAACCTCGCCCTTCCCTCCACCCCTTACACCGCCCACCTTCCCTCAAATAAGAACAACGGTTGTAGACAGGCTTCTCTGAGCAGCACGTAATCCACGCCCACATGCCTGGGCCGAGCAGCATGACACTGACAGTTTCGGTCTCTCCCGATCTGTCCAATTCGTGGCGCCTCCGCAAACTCAGACAAAAAGAGATGGACAAAACACTCGAAGCGACAGCTTAGCGTTGAACCTTCTGACCCTTCGTCTCGACATAGGTGGGCCAAAGAGCCGATGCTCAACTCAACCCAGTCACCCCCCGGACTCTCCGAGAACAAGGCTGGGAAAACACCTCTCCTTTACTGGGGGCAGTGGGGAGGGGTGTTGCCAAAAGGGTTCTCTATTACTCCAGAGTCACCCCTGGCACTTTGCTGGGAAATCAAGGGGAGCCGGAGGCGACGTTGGTTAGCGCTCTCAGGCCACTCGGAGTGGGGCGGGGGCGCCGGGGAGAGGCAAGCAGGGAAACCGGGAGCGTAATTCCCAGAGAAAAGCTCAGCGCGCTTCCCCTCTGCCGAGCCCCGCCCCCCCCCGCAACTGCCCTCATTTTGAGTGTTTTACCTGCAAGAAGCGGGCAGAGCCCGGCGCTTGCGTCCACCTCTGCCAGCTTCGGCGGCCACCGCGCAAGCGGTCTCCGGAGCAAGCTGCAGCCGCCACTGACAGAGGGATGGGCCCGGCCAACTCCTTCCCATCAAACCCCGCGCTCCCGCCAACAGCCAATCGGCGCCACGGCCGGCGCGCGCCGCTCCGCAGTCACGTGACTGTGACCGGGGCTGGCAGTTGCGGCGGGCCTGTCGGGCGGTTGGCTGGAGGACGCCTGGCCATCTGGCTTCCGCGGCTAAGTGGGGTGCTCATCGTCGTGTCTCAGGGGTGTACTGCCATTTATTAGGAGTCTTACCACTACTGTTACTTCTTTTCCTCTGCCTCCTCTTTTTGTTTTCAAGCCTCTTCTGCCAACTCTTACTGGAGAAAGAAAACCCCGAAATTGATCCTGGTGGTCCTAGACCGACGAGAGAGACGAGTGGGGTTGAGGGTGGAGATGGGTGCGTTTGGCAAGGACTCCGCCTTAAAGAGTCCCAGGATCAGCTGTCATTCAGCCGACAGCCGAGCAAGTTAATACTACTACAGAGCTTAGAAGAGACCAGTTCCCAAACAAGCCAGTGGAGAAAATTAAGCCTAGGCTCCAGGAGTGCTTGCTTTAATCACTCGTGGACGTCAAAAAGGGTCATTTGATGACAGGACGCTTACCTCACTCGTGTGTGGTAAGCTTCAAATGCCAGATGTTGATTTCAAACCCGTGGATAACATAAGCCAAGTTTTCTATCTTAAAACTCTGAACTCAAGAATACTCCCTTCACAGGTCCCAATACGTGGGCCCACGAGTAAACCATTCACCTCAGATTTGAAACATTGGCTACAGAGCGTTCAATTTCCTAGTCAGTTGGAAACGACAAGTCTAAATAACAAAAGATACTTGAACCACACAAACAGTGGAGAAGTGTTGAAAAGCAAGCAAAAGCTTTGGTCATGTTTTACCTCTGTGACATGTTTTAACCCTTTTTGCAAACATTTTTCATGGGGTTTTTCTATTTTGTTTAGTTACATTCACATTTTAAAATAGTGTTTCCGTAATTTTTAAAGAGTGTCGTTGTTTTAATGTGCTACATAAAACTTTGACAAAGCAAACAGGTACGGTAAAGTAAGAAACTGAACATAGGATCTAGTTAGTAAGAATAATATATTATACTGGAAGCTACCAGATACTTCACTGTGGAGTTGCTTGTCCTCACTGTTAAAATCTCTAGTTACAGCTTTGTAAGCTTGAAAGGATGAACAGAAGAGGACCAAACTTTACTTCTTGTGTACTCTGGGTCAGGTACTTTTCCAATCTAGAAGAAAATAGGAAAAGAAACATTTCATCTATTTTGATATGGAAATTTAACCATTTCATTTTTCATCTTTTGCTGTTTCAAAGTATATTTTTTAAAAGGCCTGCGTAGTTAATGCAAATATATCTCCTCACCTCAGAATATCTTTTCCTAAGAGAACAGGGAAGAAATGTTTTCCACTTGCTAATGATTTGTTCTCTAGTTTTAATTGAGCCATCAAGGTCTGTTGTAAAGGGGGGAAAAAACAGGAGGGGGGAGACAAAGAAGAACTAGCCAGGGGCCAGACATCCCAAAAACCTAATCCTGAGACAAAATTCCATAGGTAATTGCTCCAGAAGAAGAGAGACTGGGCCTGGCAAGGGGAGGGTTGAAGGTTTGTGCTGTCCCTAACCCCCTCCCAACTTGAAAGTATATAATCCGCTAACCCTCACAACCCCCCTCTAGCTCTTTCTGCCCATGGGTCCTGTCCCCTTGCTCTTAGCCCAGGCCTCCTGCCCTTAGCCCAGGCCTCCTGCCCTGTCTACCAAATTGGCACTCTACTAACTCTGATGCTCGCTCTCTCTCTTTTTTTTAAAAAAAAGATTTTAGAGGTGCCTGGGTGGCTCAGTCTGTTAAGCATCTGCCTTCGGCTCAGGTCATGATCCCAGGGTCCTGGGATGGAGCCCCACATCAGGCTCCCTGCTTAGCGGAGAGTCTGCTTGTCCATCTCCCTCTGCCCCTCACCCCCGCTCATGCACTCTCTCTCAAATAAATGAAATCTATTTATTAATAATAATTTATAATGATCTATTTATTTGAGAGAGAGAGAGCAAGTGGGGGGAATGGCAGAGTGAGAGAGAGAATCTCAAACAGACTCTGAACTGAGCATTGAGCCTGATGCGGGGCTCCATCCCACGACCCTGACATCATGACCTGAGCCAAAATTAAGAGTCAGATGCTCAATCAACTGAGCCACCCAGGTGCCACACGGCTCTCTTTTTCCACCACTCCCATCAAACCTCATCCTTCCCTATCTTGCCCCACTCCCAATCTTCTTCAGAGTTACACTGCATATATTCCCCCCAATTCAGGGTTTTTTTAGCTTATCTGGCCAGGGCTAGAAGGAAAATAGAGTCAAATGCTATGTCTCACTCTTGTCAACGTTTTTTTATTCTTGAGAACCTACTTTGGAAGTGTTTTTGTTTTTAAAGACTAAATTGTTGGGACACCTAGGGGGCTCAGTCAGTTAAGCCTTCGGCTCAGGTCATGATCTCAGGGTCCTAGAATCGAGTCCCAGGTCTCCTTGCTCAGTGGGGAGCCTGCTTCTCCCTCTGCCTCTGCCTGCCACTCCCCCTGCTTGTGCTCTCTCTCTCTGACAAATAAATGAAATCTTTAAAAAAAATAAATAAAGACTAAATTGTTCTCTTTGTAGTCTTGCTGTAACAACTCTAAGTCTCTATGAGGCACTGTAGATGCTTTTAACTAGAGGAAGAATCAGGAAGTATGGGGAAGAAAGAAAACTGGAATTATTTTTTGTGATGGGAAATACAGCAAACACAGAAAAGTTCATAAAAAAGAAGTGTACTACTTAAAGACTGTAACCCAAACACTCATGTGACCCCACTGGGTCAAAAGCAAAACATTACCAATATCCCAAAAGGCCCCAGTGTATCTCATCCCTTATAACCCCCAAATGCCTAGAAATAACCACTACCATGATTATTAGCATATTTACTTTCTTGCTTTTCTTCACATTCTTTCTAATTATTCATTCTTAAAAATATAGCTTATGCCTGTTTTTGAATTCCTATGTAAATAGAATCCTAGAGTGAGTATTTTTCATGTCTTGAATTGTTTTGACCAAGATTATGTCTTTAAAATTCACCTATGTGGGGCACCTGGGTGGCTCAGTCGTTGAGCGTCTGCCTTCGGCTCAGGTCATGATCCC